TGGCAGTTCAGTGGTTAAGAATTCACTGGGCAAAGTAGGAGATGTGGGTTTGATTCCTGGTCAGGGAACTAAAATCCCACATGCCTTGGGGCAACTAAGCCTGCTCACCACAAGCAGAGTCTGTGCGCCTTGGAGAAAGATCCTGCATGCTGCAACTAAGACCGGATAAAGCCAAATAAATAAATAATATATTAAGCTAATATGTAGGTTGCATCTGCTAATCCTACATTGTCACTCCTTCTCTCCCCCATCTGGGTGTCCCCAGATTACATGAAGAAAGAAGGAGAAAGTGACAGTGGGGGAAGACTGGATGAGTCGGGGGACTCCTGTGATTGTCATGCGGGTGATTGTCACTCCTGGCATCCAGTGGGTGGGGCCTGAGAGGCTGCTCCTTGGCCCACAGCACCCAGGATGCCCCGAAAGTGGAGAGTGGGAATTCATTTCTCCCTCAAGAACACCACCCTGGGACTTCCCTGGTGGTGCAGTGGCTAAGAATCTGCCTGCTGATGCAGGGGACACAGATTCGGTCCCTGGTCCAGGAAGGTTCCACATGCTGAGGAGCAACTAAAGCCATGCGCCACAACTCCTGAAGCCTGCGCTCTAGAACCCGTGCTCTGCAACGAGAACCCACCACAGTGAGAAGCCTGAGCACCACAACTAGAGAATAGCCCCTGCTCGCTGCAACTACAGAAAAACCTGCATGCAGCAAGAAAGACCCAGCTCAGACAAAACTAAAATAATAACAATAGTAAAAAACCCAACCCTGCCTGAGTTTCACGAGGGAGATGTGACAGCAAGCAAGGTTTCTGGTGCTGGAAGAATCTGGAGGAGAGTTTGGTCCTATTCCGTGTTTACCATCTTAGAGGCAGGTGCCTTGGTGCCCCTGACGGGCACCCACAGTGACAGGACAGTGGTATCATCTTGTACATCACTTCCACCTCCCCCACAGCAGGCTGAGAACCAGGCCTCCAGAACCAGAGTGCACCCTCTCCACCAGGACGACAGGACACTGCCCACATCTCTGCCCAGAGTTGGGGGCCCTCTGACACCCAGATCCCCCACGGCCACTTTCCCAGACACGTCCCACCCTAACCCTACAAGCACCCAGTTCTTCCTCCACCCCTGCTTTTCTCCAAGTTGCTACAGTTTTTCATTTGTTTTTGACCAGTGTGTGCTCAGTCGCTCTGCCATGTCTGATTCTCTGTGATTCCATGGACTGTAGTTCATCAGGCTCCTCTGTCCATTGGATTTTCCAGGCAAGAGTACTTGAGTGGAGTGCCATTGCCTTCTCCCTTTCCATCCACAGTGATTCCAAATTAAAGCGTGCTCTGGCCTGCAAGGGCTTGGGGCCAGCCACTGAGGAAGGAACCTCCCGCCCCAAGTTTTGAGTCCGGAGGCTCCTGCTGGCTCCTTGTGGACTGCAGAGACCTGGATGTCACCCCCTAGACCCTGGCCTGGCAGGTAAGAACCTCTTGGAGACACTTCCCTGACCAGGTTCTGTGTGCTGGGGGCTCAGCTTGGAGTCTGGTCACTATCTGCACTCAGTCATGGGGGGTAAACACAGCTCAACCCACCGACCAGTGGCTGGCCATGGGCAGTTCCAGATCCTGGAATTCTTGGCTCAGAATCGCTCATCTGTGTAACACACTAGAGTCTATGCCATATGGCAAAGACCCAGATTTGGAAACCCAGAGGCTCTTTTAGCCTCAAGAAATCAGAGCCTAGGGCTTCCTGGTGGTCTAGTGGTTAAGAATCTGCCTATTGACGCAGGGGACACCGGTTCGATCCCTGGTCTGGGAAGATCCCACACGGTGTGGGGCAACTAAGCCCATGAGCTGCAACAACTGAACCTGCACACCCTAGAGCTTGTCTTGGCAACAAGAGAAGTCACCATAAATGAGAAGCCTGAGCATGGCAACTAGAGAAAGCCCTCGAGTGGCAACGAAGACCCAGTGCAGCCATAAATAAATAAATAAATAACATTAAAAAAAAAAAGAAAACGGAGCTTAAATAATGACATACTGGCCCCACAAATAGTGAGGACCCTTAAGTGTTACCCTAAGATGGGTGATCTTTGTTTTTCGAATATTGAGTTTTAAGCCAGCTTTCTCTCTCCTCTCTCACCTTCATCAAGAGGCTCTTTAGTTCTTCTTCACTTTCTGCCATAAGGGTGGTGTCATCTGCGTATCTGAAGTTATTGATATTTCTCACAGCAATCTTGATTCCAGCTTGTGCATCATCCAGCCCTGCATTTTGAATGATGTACTCTGCATATAAGTTAAATAAGCAGGGTGACAATATACAGCGTTGACATACTCCTTTCCCAATTTGGAAGCAGTCCATTATTCCATGTCCGATTCTAACTGATGCTTCTTAACCTGCATACAGGTTTCTCAGGAGGCAGATAAGGTCGTCTGGTATTCCCATGTGTTTAAAAATTTTCCACAGTTTGTTGTGATCCACACAGTCAAAGGCTTTGGTGTAGTCAATGAAGCAGAAGTAGATGTTTTTCTGGAACTCTCTTGCTTTTTCAATGTTGGCTTAAAACTCAACATTCAAAAAATAAAGATCATGGCATCTGGTCCCATCACTTCATGGCAAATAGATAGGGAAACAATGGAAACAGTGAGAGACTTTAATTTTGGGGGCTCCAAAATCACTGCAGATGGTGACTGCAGCCATGAAATCAAAAGACACTTGCTCCTTGGAAGAGAAACTATGACCAACCTAGATAGCATATTAAAAAGAAGAGACATTACTTTGCCATCAAAGGTCCATCTAGTCAAAGCTATGGCTCTTCCAGTAGTCATGTATGGATATGAGAGTTGGACTATTAAGAAAGCTGAGCACCAAAGAATTGACACTTTTGAATTGTGGTGCTGGAGAAGATTCTTGAGAGTCCCTTGGACTGCACGGAGATTAAACCTAAAGGAAATCAACCCTGAATAGTCATCGGAAGGACTGATGCTGAAGCTGAAACTCCAATACTTTGGCCACCTGATACTAAGAACCGACTCACTGGAAAAGACCCTGATGCTGGGAAAGATTGAAGGCAGAAGGAGAAGACGACGACAGAAGGTGAGATGGTTGGATGGATGACTCGATCACTGACTCAATGGACATGAGTTTGAGCAAGCTGCGGGAGTTGGTGATGGACAGGGAAGTCTGGCATGCTGCAGTCCGAGGGGTTGCAAAGAGTCAGGCACGACTGAGTGACTGAACTGACCTAAGATGGGTGATTGAGAGCAAAACCTGGAAATAAAAGAAACATTGAAAGTAATTAGAAAGTACAAATTCATCTGCTTTTTTGTCTTCACCATGAGTGACAATTTTAAACAATATCATTGATTAAATATTCTTCCCCTGGGAAATTTCTTTGGTTGGCCTAACACTTGCGGTTATTAGTCTTTGTTGAGTTTTTTTTTTTTTTTTAAGATTTTTAAATTATTTATTTATTTATTTTTGGCTGCACTGGGTCTTCCGTGCTGCAAGCAGGCTTTTAAAAGATTCAGTAAGCCAGAGACTACTCTATAGCTGTGGAGCACAGACTCCTCATTGTGGTGGCTTCTTTTGTTTCGGAGCATAGGCTCTAGGGTGCAGAGGCTTCAGTAGCTTTGGAGTGTGGGCTCAGTAGTTGTAGCCCATGGGCTTAGTTGCCCTTTGGCATGTGGAATCTTCCCTAACCAGGGATCAAACCCATATCCCCTGCATTGGCAGGTGAATTCTTAACCACTGGACCACCAGGGAAGTCCTAAGTAATTTTTTTTCCTAATTAATTTTTGATGTGGACCATTTTTTTAAGTCTTTATTGAATTTATTATAACACTGCTTCTGTTCTATGTGTTGTTTCGGCCCGGAGGCATGTGGGCTCTCAGCTACCAGACCGGGGATGGAACCTGTGCCCTGTGCATTGGAAGGTGAAGCCTTAAGCACTGAACTGCCAGGTCAATTCCTCTGTAGAGTCTTAATAATTGTACAGAGGGATGCCGAAAACTAGACGTTTGTATTACAAACGCCGTGTAAGTAAATAGTAAATATTTCATTCAACAGAAAAGGGAATTTGGAAACACACAGGGACTCAGCCACATGCTTTGGAGAGTAAATTTTCTAATAGTTTTGTAATAGTTCAAGGTCCCTTTGTGGAAAGTTTGTGTCTCTAACCCCAATGGACAGAGTATTGTAGATTGGAAATAAAAATGAGATAAAACTGAGAGGCAGGGATTGTAAAGACAAAGAAACAAGTAGCTACTTCATTCGTGTAACTCTTTGGAGACTCTATTTGTGCCTAAAACATAAAAACATGAAACAAAGTGGGGCCTGCAAGAATAATATTTTTGCTTGGGGCAAAATTTAACTCACACGTGAACTATCTCTGATTTTATCCACAAGGAAAAGCATTTTTGCTGAAGGCCAAATGGTACATAAAATATTTTACTAAATTTAAATATTATCTTTACCATTTAAAGTTCTTTTTTAACTGTAAGTTGTTTCAACATGTGAAAGATCGGATCCAGAAAATCATTATTATGATCGATAAATATTAGGTTACTAAAAATTATTCTTTCCAATAAGGGGACGGGGCGCTAGGACCCCTCCTCCAAATATCCGTGGCCTTTGTCGCCCAGAACCGCCCGGGGACGGAGTCCCTCTGGGAGAAAGGACCCTGACTAAGGGCGACGTGGACCACAGTGGAGACGTGGACCCGTAAGACTCCGACCCCACCCCCACCCACACCCCCACCCACACCCCCAAAAGCCGGCGCAGAGGTGGGCCGCGGTCGCTAGGCCTGGCGGTGGGGGGCGGGGCGAGGCGCGCGCGCGCGTTCCCGACGCCACGACGGCCCCGCCCCCTCCGCGCGTCCGCAGAGCTTGGCAACGGGACGGGGCGGGACCTGAAGCATTCTTCCAATCCAAGGCGCGGTCCCAACTCGGGTCCCTCGCCGCTTGCCAATCAGACGCCGAGAGGGGCGGGCGTGCCTGGGTTTCCCGGTGGCTCCGCACCCTCGTGCGGCCGCGTTCCCGCGGCGTGGGGGCGTGGCCTGAGCGCGTTGTCTATAAAGGTGGGCGGCGACGGCGGCGCCATTTTGCGAACGGCGAGCAGCGGCGGCGGCGCGGAGAAGCGCAGCGGAGGTTTTGCTGGTTTCGGACCCCAGCGGCCGGATGGTGAAATCCTCCCTGCAGCGGATCCTCAACAGCCACTGTTTCGCCAGAGAGAAGGAAGGGGATAAACCCAGCGCCACCGTCCACGCCACCCGCACCATGCCGCTCCTTAGCCTGCACAGCCGCGGAGGCCGCAACAGCGAGAGGTAATTGCCCCGCCCCCGCCCGAAGCTTCCAGAAGCGGCGCCGCGCAGGCCCGCAGGGGGCCGGCCTTGGGGCGCCACGGAAGTCCGGGGAGCGCGAGGTCCGCCCCTTTGTCGAGGCCACAATCGTACCGGGGGCGGGGTGGGGCGGGACCGAAGCGGGCGGAGGGGCCTCTGATTGGATTGAGGGGCTTCCAGGGTACCTGGTCGAATTGAGGGGTGTGTGGCGGGGAACACGGCGGTTTCCGTTTGGATTGGGGGAAGCTTCTAGGGTCCCTGGTCGGGTTTGGGGGGCACCAGAGTTCACGTCCCGTTTTAGAGGCGCGGGGGTCGGGTTTGGGGGGCGGCTAGGCTTGAGGGGCGAGGTGGAGCCCACGGGTCCGGGGAATCGGGACTTTACGGGCAGACGAGCCCAGCGGAGTGGCCTTTGCCACGGGACGGCGGCCGCCCTGGCGATCCCTTTATAGCCCAGAGGACGCGCGGAGTCGGACAGCGCCACGTAGACGGCGCCCGGGGCCCTTATCAGGGTGAATGCCGGATCGCCCTGCCACCGGAGGACTGCTGTGCCAGGGATGGTCGGGGTCAGGGACGGGGGTCCAGGGGAGCTGCGCTCGGCGCGGAGCGCGAGCTCTGATGAAGGGGACCCCGGATGGGAGCCGAGGAAAATGGAGGCGACTTTGGGGCTTGTTTACACTGCTCAGCAAATGGCTGCTGGCATTGCCGGCTGCGCGATTGTGAAAATCTCCCCCGGGGCCGAGGGCTCTCTGCCGAGATGACGCAACCGGAGGCCGCGGGGAGCGCGCGGGAGGGCGTCTCCGTGGGCCGGGCCCCGCAGCACCTGCGGGGGCACTGATCGGGCCCCACGTCTCCCGGCGAGTGAAGGGACCGCCGCAGGGACAGCTGCTGCGGACGGACGGGTCAGATCACTAAGAAAAGCTTGCTGGAGCCTCAGGTCGGCTACAGACCGCACAGAGGGAAAGGGGAAGCTGGAGCGCTGGGCTTAGAAAGGGGAAGTAGAACTTGACGCAGGATTGGGTGGGGCGGCAGTTCGTGCCAGTCGTGAGATGGTTAAAGGGGAAAAGCACCCCCGCCCCCGGGGACGGGTGGGTCTTTAACCAGCGTATCACCCGTGGCGTCTGGTTTGAATGGACACTTGTTTCTGTGATTGTTTAGCTGCCCCGCCGCCGGATGTTGATTTTTGCGCTCGGTGTGAACGTCGCCCTTGGAAAAGGGAGGCAGGGTCCCTGGTGGACTTGGGCTCTGGAAGGCCTTGACCTTCAGTTTGGCCGTATTGGGACGCCAGGCCCTGTTGGCAAAGGCCGCGGGGGTCTCCTCCCAGTGCTGCTCACCTGCTGTCTCCTCCAGTTCCAGGGTCTCCATCAACTGCTGTAGTAACCTGGGTCCAGGGCCTCGGTGGTGCTCCTGATGTCCCTCACCCACCCCTGAAGATCCCAGGTGGGCGAGGGAATAGTCAGAGGGATCACAATCTTTCAGCTAATTTATTTTACTCTGTAAGTATTCCCCTCCCTCTGGACTCCTGGGTACCTGAGCTGGGGGGAATGCAGTCAGACCCACAGTGCCTGCCTCTCAGCAGACGGCAATCATTTGTGCACTTGTCATGTGCTGGGAGTTCTTTTCCTGGTTTTACCCAGTGCTCTGAGCCCAAGATAGAAGGAACAAAGGTGCAAACCACTGCCCAGGCTTTCCCTGAATCTCTAGTAGTTATTGGCAGCTCATGATAGCACCTTAGCCTGGGGCTCTCTGTGGTCTTGGGCAGAGCTGATGCTGCTCAGAGGCCTCCGTAGCCAACATCAGCACTGGGTGGTGGGGGTGTATGAAAGGTCATTTTGGTGCTTTTCTGGGTTGTTGGGGTAGCCAAGGGAAAGATCCCCAACATGTGAAGGTTGGTGTTTATGGTTGAATGTGATTTTTTTACCCCCGCAGGATAATCGGCTGAATGTAACAGAGGAACTAACGTCTAATAACAAGACGAGGATTTTTAATGTCCAGTCCAGGCTCACAGAGGCCAAACACATTAACTGGAGAGCGGTGCTGAGCAACAGCTGCCTCTACATCGAGATCCCGGGCGGCGCTCTGCCCGAGGGGAGCAAGGACAGGTGAGGGCCGGCCTGTGTGCCAGGAGGAGGGAAGCCTGAATCAGGAGACAGATGGGTTCATGTTCTGGAATGGGGGTTCTCCTTTTAAGCAGTGGACCAGCAGTTACCACCCAAGGGACGAGGGGAGGGGGTGTTACTGCTGGCCTCAAGTAGGTGGGGCCAGGGGCACCCCACAGTGTCTAGGAATGCCCCTTTGAGTGATCTGCCACCAGTGTCTGTAGTGCTTTAGATGACCCTGGATTAGACCTGGGAGAGATTGGGGTTCAGACGGAAGTGGAAGAATCAGGCTGAGGCCCCAGTAGTGGTGCGGGTGGGCAGCTCCTGATGCTGGAACTTCAGCTTCGCAGTTCTTCTTGAGTTTGCTGAAGAGCAGCTCCATGTTGACCACGTCTTCATTTGCTTCCACAAGAACCGCGATGATCGAGGTAGGTTGACTGCCTTCCTCAGATTCTCCAGGGGTGAGAGGAGGGGGAGGCCAGGCAAGGAGGTGGAGCCCATGGAGTCCAAGACTCAGGCCTTGGTCTCCAGACTCTGGGCCCTGATTGTGGACAGGAGTTCTGACTTAATCGTGTCTCTTCTGCAGCCGCCTTGCTCCGTACCTTCAGCTTTTTGGGCTTTGAGATTGTGAGACCGGGGCATCCCCTTGTCCCCAAGAGACCCGACGCTTGCTTCATGGCCTACACATTTGAGAGAGAGTCCTCGGGTGAGGAGGAGTAGTGCGTGGCCCCGGGGCCACTCGGGCCTCCATTGCAGTCCCGTCTGTGTGCTTCGCGCCGTGCCTGCTGCTGGTGGTGTGATCAACTGCGCTGACCAGCGTCAGCCTGCTCACCTGCTGGTTTGTCCGCATGTTGTAATTGTGCAAATAAACGCTCACTCCAAATTAGCCGTGTATTTCTTGAAGTTTAATATTGTGTTTGTGATACTGAAGTATTTGCTTTAATTCTAAATAAAAGTTTATATTTTACTTTTTTATTGCTGGTTTAAGATGATTCAGATTATCCTTGTACTTTGAGGAGTTTCTTATTTGAAAGTCTTTTTGGAACAGTCTTAGGTCTCTTAACTTGGAAAGATAGGTATTAATTTACCCTTCTATTGCTCTCAGAAATCCAAATAAAAGTGATTATCCCTCTTAAGACCTGTGTTGGCTCTATGGTGTTGATGGGCTTTGGGGCCAAGGGAATAGGGGCCTTGGGCTTGCCAGGGGCTGAGGGAGCTGTGCTCTCAAGCAAGAGTTGTGAGGCAGTAAGGCCCTGGTGTCAACTTTGGCCACAGCCAGCTCAACCTGGCTACCTCCATACCTCATCTTCCTGCCACCCCTGGGCAGGTGGTAGCTCTCCCCACCCTGCCTGCCACTCCCCTTTCCCTGGAGCCCTTCCCTGGGGTGACGGAGGCAGGCTGGAGTGGCCTGGTTCCAGGCTGAAGCTGTTTACTGAGAAGTGGAGTGGGGCAGGGCCTGAGTGGGGCTTTCCCAGGGGTGAAGGGGAAGGAAGGGGTGGGTGTTTGGCTGTGGACATCCTCAGCCCTCTTATGGTGTCTTGCTGGGGAGGGAGCTCTGCTGGTGGGTGTTCTGACCGGAGCAAAGGTGGGGTCTGAGGCAGTCAGAAGGCAAAGACCCTGCAGTGGGTGGGGGTGCTGTGCCTAGTTGCCCAGTTGTCATGGGGTACAACTCTGACCCCATGGGAGACCCTCTGCTAGACTCCTCTGGCCATAGGGATTCTCCAGGCAAGGATACTGGAGTGGGTTGCCATGCCCTTCTCCAAGGGATCTCCACTCAGGGTTCGAACCCAGGTCTCCCACATTGTGGGCAGATTCCTGACCATCTGAGCCATCAGGGAAGCGTGGAGGTAAGGGGGTGGCTGAAGGCCAAAGGCTGCAGCGCCACCTGCTGGCTGCACCTGGGGTTGTGCCCTGCAGATTGACAAATAGGTTGCAAAGCAGGTATCTTAGGAGAAAGGAATTCAGAGGGATTCAAGTCTATCTGGGGGTTGGGTGGGATATTTGGTTGATTGATAATGGAGTTGGCTTTCAAAGGTCTGGGGAGAGGGCTGGACACACTTCAGTCTGTGTGGGCAGGGCATGGGCAGAGAAAGGGCTTTGGGTTTGGGGTGCTGGAGGATGTAGAGTCTGAAGCAGAGCATAGTGGGGAGGTATATCAGCAGAAGGAACAATGCATAAGGTCTGGAGGCCAGAAAGCACCTACACAGAGGGGTGATGTGCCAGGAGAGGTTGGCCGGACAGCATGCGGAGCCATTAGACAAACCCCTTGTGTTTTGAAGGTACTAGGGAGCCTGAGCAGGGGAGGGACCAGGTTACACCTGGGGATTAGAAAGTTCCCCCCAGCATCGCCATGGCTGGTGAAGGGGCATGACTGGAGACCCCACACAAGGGCACTGGGGCCCCTCAGGGCTCCTGTATCTACTTTTCAAAAGTACACACAGACTTCCTCCTCATTCTCTCCCTCAGGTCCCTGATGAGTCTGTAAACAACTTTGTTTATTCTATCATTCTATGCTATTAAACACTTAGCGTGTGTTAAGTATGGGCAGGGCCTCAGAAGTCAACCTGATGGGTGAGGTGAACAGGTGACAAAGAGATGAATAAATACTTGCAGGTGGTGACAAGTGCTTTGGTGGGAAGCACGGCCAGGAACTGGAGAGGGCCCAGGAGGGTCAACTTTATTTGCTTAAAAGAGGTGAGATTCAGCAAGTCCGGCAGAGGAAACAGCCAGTGCAAAGACTTGGTGGCTAGACAGAATTTAGTGTTACAGAGGGGGAGCAAGGAGGCCGCAGTGGATGAAGGGAGTAGAGGGGGTGGGCATGGGAACCAGGGGAGCATGTGGGCAGGTGAGCTCAGACCCTGCTGCGGTGGGCTGGCTATCTCAGGTTCCAGAGACCTCTCTCCCCATGGAAGCCCCCAGCAGTTCTTGACAAGCTGTTGACAGTTCACACCACCATCCTCAGCGCAAGGGCAGGCTCCAGGGCCTTTGGGAGGAGTGTCCACATTGCCATGGATACACTGACCATCAGACCATAGTACCACAAGGGCACCTGGCTTCTACTGAAAGGCAGTGGGAGGGGTTCCAGCCACTGGGAGAGGCATGAACTGGCAGTGACTCCACCTGTGGAAGAGGGGTGGGCTCCTCTGAAAGCCTCTACAGGCACTGGCCATTAGGCCCCAGCCCTGGAAGGGGGCAACTGCATTCTGGGGGGTAATGGGGGGGGATTGGGCCTAATTTCCCAACTGCATTCTTTGCTGGCCTGTTGGTCCCTTCTGAAAGAGGGCGTCCACCCTATGATGGATTCACCAGCCACCAGTTCCAGCCCTGGGAGGTTGAGGGTGGCCTGCCACTTGGAGAGGCCCTGGAACAGGTGCGTCACTCACAGGCAGGGTCAGTCCCACAGCAGACTGAGGGCGAGGTCCACTGAGGCCGCTGTGGCCTCCGTCAGGTATTCACAGCAGAGCCAGTCCTCCAGACCAGGCACCTCCCCACCCACGGCCCGCTCGGCCAGGTGCAGGACCAGCATGGTTCGGCGCACCCGCAGCCAGGACCCCAGAGGGGCTCCGTGGCTGCGCAGCTCGGGTCCAGGCCCCCAGAGCAGTGCCTGCAGTGCACCACGTGTCCGGGCCGCTGAGGGCCGCACGCGGGTCAGCTGGGCCGCCAGACGCTCCAGGCCTGTGGCCACGGGTGTGGCCAAGGGCACTCCCGGGGCAAGCAGCTCTCGGAGCAGGCGGCCCAGCTGCCGTGCGTGGATGCCAGGGGTGCCGGGAGGCCGCGGGTGAATGCGTCTGAAGTCCGCAAGAAGCAGGCGCGGGGGCCCGGTGGCCGTGCAGCCCCGAGGCGCCACCAGCAGGAGGTTCTCCAGCCGCAGCTCGGCCAGGGCCACACCCAGTGCTTCCAGGCGCTCCAGGGCGGCGCTCAGCTGCAGCAGCAGCAGGGCCACGGTCTTCGTGAACTCCTCGGGCGGCCGAGTGCCTGCCTCCACAAGCCACTGGGCCACAGTGAGCTCTGGCACCTCGGCCACCAGGGCCACACTGCCGCTCCAGGGTGCCTCAGGCAGTGCACCCTCGGGCAACAGGCCACACAGCCCCTGGAGGTTGAAATGCGGGCGCAGAGAGACCTGTAGCTCCAGGCCCCAGGGGTGGGGCTCCTCAGCTCCTGGCTTGGGCACCTGTGGGACAGAGGGGGCCTTCAGAGCCTGACCACAGAGCCCCTCCACCCTGAAAACCAGCATAGCTTACCCAGAGGCTCTACCTGTTCTGAAATCTTCCCACCCACCGCAACTTGCTCCACTATCGCAGATCACTCCAGAAGCAAGGTTCTTGTTAATTCAGATATTGTTCGCCAACATGATTTAAGGAAAACTACACCTGGGAGGATGGTGCTATGAGTCTTCCCTGGCGGCTCAGATGGTAAAGAATCTGCCTTCAACGCGGGAGACCCAGGTTTGATACCTGGGTCGGGGAAGATTCTCCGGAGAATGGAATGGCTACCCACTCCAGTATTCTTGTCTGGAGAATCCCATGGACAGAGGAGCCTGGTGGGCTATAGTCCATGGGTTTTCAAAGAGTCAGACACAACTGAGTGACTAACACTAACAGTATACCAGGGAGGAGGTGTTTAACGGCTAAAGTTTCCAGCCTGCCAAAGGGTATCCATCACTCGTGCTTGCCACTTGTTAAGGAGGAAGGTGACAGCAAAGGTGCTGGAGCTGGGCTGTTCAGTAGAAATACAGCTCAGGCCACAGTGTAATTCAAAATTTCCAGTAGCCACATTTTAAAAAGTGAAACAGGTGAAAGTAACTTTCTTTCTTCTTCCTCTTCTTTTTAATATTCACTAGTTTAATTTTTTATATTCTGCATGTAATTGAAAACATACAGGATTTGTTTTTTTATTTCACTAAGTATAATACCCTCCTGTGGTGTTGGAGAAGACTCTTTAAGAGTCCCTTGGACAGCAAGGAGATCAAACCAGTTGATCCTAAAGGAAATCAGTCCTGAATATTCATTGAAAGGACTGATGCCAAAGCTGAAGCTCGAATACCTTGGCCGCCTGATTCGAAGAACTAACTCATGAAAAAGACCCTGATGCTAGGAAAGATTAAAGGTAGGAGGAGAAGGGGACGACAGAGGATGAGATGGTTGGATGGCATCACCGACTCAATGGACATGAGTGTGAGCAAGCTCCAGGAGTTGGTGATGGACAGGGATGTCTGGCATGATGCATTCCATGGATGGTGTCACAAACAGACACAACTGAGTGACTGAACTGAACTGATAATACCCTCCAGGTTCATCTATGTTGCAAGTGGCAAAATTACATTCTTTTTTATGGCAGATTAGTAGTAGTCCATTGTATATATATTTCACATCTTCTGTTGATGGACACTGAGGTTGCTTCCATGTCTTGGCTATTGTAAATAATGTTGCTGTGAACATTGGGGGCACATAGATATTTTCTAATGAGTGTTTTTGTTTTTTTCTAGATATATACTCAGGATTAGAGTTGTTGGATTATATGCAGTTCTATTTTTAGTTTTCTGAGGAACTTCTAAACTGTTTTCCACAGTGGCCACATCATTTTACATTCCCATCAACAGTGTACAGGATTCTCTTCTCTCCACGTCCTTGCCAACACTTGTTGTCTGTGGTCTTTTTGATGATGGTCATTCTGACAGGTGTGAGGTGATACCTCTTTATGGTTTTGCTTTACATTTCTCTGATTAGCGATGTTGAGCATCTTTTCATGTACTTGTTGACCATCTGTATGTCTTCTTTGGAAAAATGTCTCTGCAGGTCTTCTGCCTAATTTTTCATTAGCTTTTTTTTTTATTGAGTTGTATGAGCTTGAAAATAACTTTCATAATCTATTTTATTTAATCCAATATACCGAGAATATTATCATTCAACAGGTCATCAATGAAAAAAAATTAGTGAGATGTTTTACATGATTGTTATTGATACTAAATCTTTGAGACCTGGTGTATATTTGGCACTCAAAGCACATCTGTCAGGACCAGCCCCATTTCAAGTGCTCAGAAGTCACCCATGGCCAGCAGCTGAAGTACTGGTCAGCAAAGCTCCTTCTAGAAAGTAGGAGAACATCAACTCTGGAGATTACATTTGACTCACTTTGGGGCAGGGGTTAAAAAGCACAGATGCTGAGGTGGGGCACTGGGAGTGTGTAGTTTAAAAATAAAGTCCCTTGGGACTTCTCTGGTGGTCTAGTGGTTAGGACTCCAAGCTTCCAGTGCAGGAGGTTCAGGTTCAATTCCTGGTTGGGGAACTAAGATCCCCCACACCATGTGGCGTGGCCAAAAAAACCCCCAAAACAACCAACACAACAACTCCCCAGGGGCCTCTGAGATGGAACGAGGATCAAGCTGTCAACTAAAGAACTCATAGCTAGCAACAACTTACTCCCTCCACACTCCCATCTGTAAAATGGGTTCATAATAGCACAATCTGTCAAATGGATGAGGTTCCTCCAAAATGGTGACATGTCTGACTCTTGGTGGTCACATTTATTTGACAGGAATTTTTTTTCCCTTGGTGGCGCATAAAACAGAAGCACCTTATAATAAAATATGGTGATGCTTGCATGAGGATTAGCTGAATGAAAGTGCGGAAATCTCTTCAGAACAGCACAGGACATGAAGGAACAGTGCTCAGTACATTTTGTTGAAGATGTTGATGATGGAAAGTGGTCTCTATCAGCTGGCAGTGGGTTTCTAGCATCAGAATTTACTGGGGAGTGAGTTCAAAGGCAGACTCCTGAAGACTTCCCAAGAGGTCCAGCGGTTAAAACTCCTAGCTTCTACTACAGAGGGTGTGGGTTCAATCCCTGGTCGGGGAACTAAGATCCCACATGCCCCGTGGCAGAAAAAAAAAAAAAAAAAAACCGGGGAGATTTTAACAAGACTCCCAGGTGAGTCGAATGTAGGTGGCCCCACACCTTAGAAACGTGATTCCTAGGACTGACGGTGTTAGCTTCAAAATAAGCAATTAGGCCCGAGAAGGAAGGCCCTGGGTTATGCCTTGGAGGGGAAACTGGGGAAACATCCGGGGGGCGGGGCGGGGGCGGGGCTCACCTTGGCAGCCAGGAGATGCCACGCCTCCTCATGCACGCGTACCAAGCGGTAGTAGAGCGCGTCCCCGCTCTCTACACAGGGCGAGCTGTCCAGGAGTCGGAAGCCGTGCTCTGGCCGGCAGGGGCCTGGGCGCCCCCCCAGGAGGCGGGTGTGCAGCCGGGCGTGCACGACGCGGAGACCCTCCAGCTGCCGGGCCTCCAGCGCGGCGTGCACGGCCTCCGGGTGGTTCAGGTCGTGGAGGGAGAGGCCCAGTTCGGCGTCCAGCCAGCTGAAGGGCGGCTCTGCAGGCGGCTGGGCTGGCCCCGTCCTGTCGTCGTCTGCCTGGCTCTCATCCACACTGCGGGACCCCACAAGGGGCTTCCGAGGCGGCCCTGCTCGAGTGAGGCTGGGGCTGGAGGCTTTGTGGGTAGGCAGCGACTGGGTCCTGGTGAGGGTCTTCTTGGGCAGGGGTGGGGGCAGGGGCTGCGGGTCAGTCACGGGGGGCTCAGATGTCCGTGGGCGGCAGGCCTTGGAGGGCAGCAGGTGGGTGCGGACCTCACCTGGGCGGGGGAAGCAGTGGGGGAAGGGCGTGAGGACACGGGGAGTGGGTTCCCAGCACTCTACCCATGGCCATAATTCCTTCATCTCTAAAATGGAAAAAATAGTGACTTTTCTAGTGGTGCAGTGGTTAAGACTCCGTGTTGCCCCTGCAGGGGGCGCTGGTTCCATCCCTGAGCAGGGAAATAAGATCCCACATGCCACGGGAGTGGGGTGGGGGTAGCCAAAACAAATTTCTTTTGACTGGAAAAAAACAGGGAGTTCCTAGGTGGTCCAGCGCTCTTACTGCTGGGGCCGGGGTTCAATCCCTGGTCAGGGAACTGAGATCCCACAAAACCGCACTGCACCACCAATAAAAGAAAATACCAATGCTCAACTACTTTGTGCCTTGTGAGTTAAGGATGCCATCTCCAATTTGCAAATAAGGAAACAAAGCTTCAGAGGAGTGACAAGTCAGTGGCAGAGAAACATCCGGCCCCCACTTTCCTGTCTGGTTCTGGGCAGGTGACTGAGCCTCGCTGAGCTCCAGTTTCCTCATTTTTAGAAACTGGCGATCCAGCTTTTTTTTTAAACAAAGAGTTTTATTAAAATAGTTAAAAAGCTGCTATACGGGACTTCCCTGGTGGTTCAGTGGTTAAGACTCTGTGCTTCCAATGCAGGGGGCCCAGAACTAGCCAGGGAACTAGCTCCCACATGTTGCAACTACAACCCAGCACAACCAAATAAATAAATATTTTTAAAAAGCTGCTATAATCGAGTTAAATGATTCCTTAGATGGTAATGAAAGACCCAACCGTCCTGTTCTGGCTGCCTTACCGGCCATCTGTCCCACCGCCCACCGAGGGCCCCTCCCAGGCTCTCACCAAGGTTGCTGTACGTGTGCTGTGCTGAACAGGCGGGGGTGTGGGCCCCAGGCATCTTGGTGGGTGGCTCCAGGTTGCTCATGCTGCTGGGGGAAGGTCAGAGTGGATGGCATGTGTGTGAGGGGCCCCCCTGCTGTGTGGCCCTTGGGAGGGTTGCTTGACCTCTCTGGGTGAATGTCACCCATCAACCTTTCAGGGCAGCAGGAAGGACCTTGTACTCTTGTGATAGAGACAAAATGTCCAGGTGGGAGGGCAAGACATTTAGGGGGCAGGGGTAGCATCTGGGGGCTGGTGACAATACCCAGGGACCCGTACTTAGGCCTTGTCCGCAGAACTCAGCCCCCCTCAAGCCGTGCAGTCAGCAACAGCAGCCTGACCCCTAGCCCTGCCCCACCTAGATTCTAGGTCACCCCAGCCTTGAAAAGCGGCTGCTTCTGCCCAGCCCCCGCCTTAGCCCCCCTCCAGGAGCGCCCTACCTTTAGGACTGGCGTGACCTCGGGGCAGGAGGGCCCTTGAGGACCAACTCCCAATAGCTGCAGCTCCTGGCCTCTCGGACTGTCTGACCGGTCCCGGTCCCTGCAGTGAACCGGAAACGCCAGGGCAACTGTTAGACCACAGGCCCGGACGGGAGGGGGCCTTTCTGCAGTACTTCCCCATGAAGGCTGCTGGGCTCCAGGGCTGAAAGCTGATGGGAGGAGAAGGGAAGACGGGCCGAGTTCCTGAAGGTTACACGAGGTGGGCAGCCGAGAGGACCGAGCCCTGAGAGGTTGGGGGGAATCGAGGCTTTTAAGACTCCCCCACCTTTGGAGAGGCAGGGAACCTCAGAAGTGAAGGTTCAAGGAGAAATTCAGCCAGGTGACTTTTCCTCTGTGGTTTTCACTTCCTCCGAAGCCACTTCCCCTTCTGCAGGATCATCTGAGAAGCCCCCAGAGTGCATGCCCCCACTCCTCACCCATCCCAGGACCCTTGGCAGGTACTGCTCCATTTGAGCCTCAGTTCTGTGACTTGTGTGACTTTGGGCCAGTCACCACGCCTTCTGTGTTCCAGCAAATACAGAAAAATGGCTCCTGTTTGCTGTCTCCAGCCACACTAGCTGGATTTGTTTTTTTAATTTAATCAACTCACTTCCCTTCCCCCCCACCACTTTAATGCATTGATTTAGAAAAAGACATTTGATAATAGAATTGCCATACATGGAAAATCAAGAAATGGTGAACCTCCAGGGAAAGCCAGACAGTGTGAAATTCTAGCTTAAGTACATGCTGTCTAAGTGTCTGGGGGCCTGAGGCTTACCTTACCTGCTCGGAGGCGTGAGTGGCATCTCTCTGAAACCCAGCCTCTTCCCCTCTGTAGAGGAAGAACCAAGAAGTTACTGCGGTTGAGAAGATGCAAAGACATTTTTGTTTTGTAGTCTGAGCATCTTCCATGCTGAGTTTCTCCTCCTGCCCCATCTCATTTCCCTGAGAGGGTTGGAGTCCACGCAGGGTCACACAGCAGGTCCAAGGTGGGCTGAGAGGTCTACAGGCCGGCTGTTACTGGGTGACCCCTGGGTGTGAGGAAGGAGACAAATCCATCTCATGGAGTCCCCCACATTTTGGGCCACACTGACCTGCTGACCCTCAGCATTTCCAGTGTGAGGGTCCATAACTTGATTCAATATTTTTTCTTTACCAGCACTCAGCTTCTGTAATTCACAGAATGGATGTTCTCTGTCTTTAATCCATGGGCAGCCTGTGATTTGGGTGGATTTCAGAATCATGCAGTGGGAGGATCATGAGCTTGTGGAAGGGTCTGTGAATTATGCCGGACAAGGATTCCACAAATCCTAGACTGTTTCGGGCGGACCAGAAGGGGCCAGAGATACTGAGGAAATGGCCTCCTCACTGCCCAAACCCCTGCTGATTACCAGTTCTTATTCTTCCCTTCATAAGACCCTGGGGCAGGGGGAGGGGTAGTCACCCAGCCAGGCCACAGCTCCAATCCAGGATTAATTAGGGTTCAGCAAGCAAGGCACTCACTTCAGGCACAGAATTTAAGGTGATGCCAACAAAACAAAACACCCCAGTAATCAAGATAAATAACATTTTTGTTGTTGCTGTTCGTCACTAAGTCGGGTCTGACTCTCTGCAACCCCATGGACTGCAGCACACGCGGCTTCCCTGTCCTTCACTATCTCCCTGATGTTGCTCAGATTCATGTCCATTGAGTTGGTGATGCTATCCAAACATCTCGTCCTCTATCGCTCCCTTCTCCTCCTGCCTTTAATCTTTCCCAGCATCAGGGTCTTTTCCAATGAGTCTGCTCTTCCCATCAGGTAGCCAAATTATTGGAGATTTTGGCTTCAGCATCAGTCCTTCCAATGAATATTCAGGGTTGATTTCCTTTAGGATTGCCTGGTTTGATCTCCTTGTTGTCCAAGGGACTATCAACAGCCTTTTCCAGCACCACAATTCAAAGGCATCAGTTCTTCGGCGCTCAGCATTCTTTATGGTCCAACTCTCATATCCATACATGACTACTGGAAAATCCATAGCTTTGACTATAGGCACTTTTGTTGGCAGAGTGATGTCTTAAATAACATTGTAATATAATATTTAAAAAAAAATCTTATTTGCAAACTGTGGCCCTTGGGCTGGTGGCTGTTTTTGTAAATAAAGTTTTGTTGGAACGAGGGCCAGCATTAGGGTATGGGGAGTGAGGCAGGGTCATGCCAAGGCAGAGTGGATCTTTATTTAAAAGGTTGGTATTCTGTTCATTGTGGACTTGAGGCATGAACTGATTCCATTTGCTGATTATTGATCTTTTTTAAAAATTCTTTTTATTTTTAAATTTCACTTGGCTGCATCAGGTCTTAGTTGCAGCGCACGGATCTTCATTGCTTAATGTCGGGTCTTTTCTTTTGGCTCATGGACTCTCTAGCTGTGATGTCCATGTTCAGTAGTTTCGGCGTTCAGGCTTAGCTGCCCTGTGGCATGTGGGATCTTAGTTCCCTGACTGGGGATGGAACCTGCATCCCCTGCATTGCAAGGTAGATTCTTAACCACTGAACCACCAGGGAGATCCCTAGACTATTGATCTTGATGACTGAGATCTGGGCACCCCCTTAAATTTTATGCTCAGGGTCAGTGCCTCACTTGCCTCACCCTGGGGTGAGATAGAAGGCCGGCAGAGGGGCCAGGCTGGAACAAGCAGTGACATCCCTGGGGACTTCACCCAGGACAGGCAGGGTTGGGGGAACTAGTGTCTGGGACTGCCTCAAGATGGCCCCCCTTGGAGTGGGTGGAGGGCTTTGTGATGAAGGAGAGCAGTTGCCTGCTAACATCTGCTCAGCACCCCAACATCCCCAGCACACCGTCGAGCCCCAGTGGACAGTCCTCCCCTTCAGCCTAGAAATGGGGAATGCTTGCCTCAGCTCACCCTCAAATGTGACCCCTGTGTGTGTCACCCCCACAGTGGCCCCGTCTGGCTGCCCCAGCTCGGGGTCAGGCCCTCTGCAGATCCTAAAGCTGTGCTTTCATTTGAAGAGTATTTTTGGAGCTCTGCAGGAGCTGAGGCCAAACTCCCTGCATCCCTGGCATTACCCAGAGCAGGGTTCCCGATGCCAGGTGCTCCCGAATTTTCCATGACTTGGCATTTCTGAGAAAAATGCCTCAGTTTTGGTGCTAGGCAGGGTTACAGTCCCCAAAGGCGTCCATCTCCAGGACCTGTGAATATGTTATGTGGCATGACAGGGGGAAATGAAGGTTGCAGATTAGATGAGGATGGGAGTGACTCTGGATTCCTCGAGGGTCCTTATAAAAGGGAGGGGGAGGGTCAGAGGCAGAGAGAGACGGGAGATGCTGTGTTGCTGGCTCTGAGGATGGAGGGAGAGGCCGTGAGCCAGGGATGCAGTGCTTCTAGAAGCTGGAAAAGGCAGGAGCCTCCGGAAGGAACCAACTGCCAATCCATTTTAGACTTCTGAGCCCCAGAGCTGTTGAATGATGAATCTCGGTTGTTGTAAGCCATTAAGTTTTGTTACAGCGGCTGTAGGAGGCTCATCCAGTTCCCTGCATGAAAGAGGACCACAATCCTCCAGTTTATGGATGTGCACACTGCACAGAAGGTGGGGGGGGGCGCGACTTCCCCCAACGCACACAGCACTCAGGCCACAGACACCCATCCGAGGGGCCCCGCCTTGGGTTTCTGGCCACAAACTGGATGGGACCCCTTCTGCTGTCCTTGGACACCTGAGGAAGGAGTACCCTTCTGCTGCATCCCAAAGATAAGACAGGATTCAGAAAATCCTGGATCATTGTATCTGGTTTGAACCAGGGACTCAGGTGGCCCCTGTGGATGAGGAAACCGAGGCACAGGAGGAGGCAGTCTTTCACCTGCCTTTGCTGCAGCACCATAGGGGAGATGGGTCCCAGAGGCAGGGTCCTACGGCCCAGCCTGCCCACTCCCACCTGACTTTTTGAAATCAGGCTTGGAGGGGTTGTCCCACAGTGCCCCCCTCATCCCCTTTTCTGTTTCTGTCTCCTGCTGGGCAGGAAGGCAGTTTCTTCCCATGTTCAAATGAAGCAACTGAGGTCCTGGGACTTTTCTGTTGGTCCAGTGGTTAAGACTCTGTGCTCCCAATGCAGGGGACCCAGGTTCGATCCCTGGTCAGGGAACTAGATCCTATATGCTGCAACTAAAGATTTCGCTTGCTGCAATGAAGATGGAAGATCCTGCATGCTGCCACCAAGACCTGGTGCAGCCCAATAAATAAATATTTTTAAAAAGAAAGAAACCAAGTTCCAGAGAGTGACCCTGGGGTGTGGGAGGCTGCCCTTGGCCATAGTTTCTGCTGGGTGCTCTCAGGCCACCTCCTTCCAGAAAGATTAATGGCAGAGGTGTCCACGGTCACAGCAGGGAGGGCATAAGTCTGCACCTCCTTTCTCCTTTCCTCCCAGCCACTTGGCTCTTCCCCTGGACCCAGCTCAGGGCAGGAGTTTCCCTGGACAGCTTGGTCTCACTGGCCCCTCTCAGCACCCTAACTTATCCCTGACTGGGGACTCTGGGTAGGCTTGACCCTCCCTTTTCCCATCTGTAAAATGGGGTTATAATCTTCCCTCATAACTCAGTCAGTAAAGAATCTGCCTGCAAGGCAGGAGACCCAAGTTCGATTCCTGGGTCGGGAAGATTCCATGGAGAAGGAAATGGCAACCCACTCCAGTATTCTTGCCTGGAGAATCCCATGGACAGAGGATCCTGGCAGGCTAGAGTCTATGGGGTTGCAAGAGTCAGACATGACAGCTACTAAACCACCACCACCGAAATGGGGTCATAGCAGTACTCAGCTCACAGGGGAGTGAACACAGGCAGCAGTGGGAACTCCTGAGCTCATGGGAACACATGAGCACTCCTGAAGTGTGACCTCCAACCTCATCACACGGTTCGTTCTAAAATCACAAACACCCTGTTACTCAGGGTCAGCTTTGGTGCTGAAGCCAGGCAGCGCCCCCAGGGACCCCAGAAACCCCTACTTCCTTTCCCTGCTCTTCCCATAAAAAAAAAAGCCCTGAAGTTTGCTATTAAATTGGTTTCATCTTTATTGGATTCCAACCAAATACAGCAGGGTAGGGGTGGGAGGGGACAGGGGGTGTTGGTTCATGTTTGGGGGCAGGCAGAGGGGGCTGGGAGATCCCAATACACTGATGTTCTATGAGTCCTAATACTGTCCTAACACTGTTGAGAATATACTCCCTCTCCTCATGATGATGCTAAAGGCACTTGGATGTCGTTTTTTGAGGGACCCTCAGGGTTGTCATGGCAACCAAGGTCAGGTGGATGCTAAGGGGAAAAAAAACTAGTCCATTCTGTTCAATTCTGTATGGGGCTGCTGGAAACCCCATTCAGCTCTCACTCACGTCCTGCCATGAGCAGGGTTGGGGTGGGGTCCCCACCTGGACTGGTTGTGGTCAGTAGCCTGCCACTCTGTCCTGTTGGCCCACGAACACAACGTGGGGGCAGGGCCAAGGTCTCCTAATGTTTCTAGCCCAGGGAGAATGGCCAGTGTCCCTTCCTAAGTTCTGTCTGAATCCTTTGCTCAAAATTGCCAGGGTAGACAGTTTTTTCTCTGCTTTGTCTCAGAAAGACCTTGAGGAATCCAGAAAACAAGTCAAACATCAAGCTTGTCTGTGGGCCTGGCCTCTATGTATGGAGCAATAGGTTTGGCCATCAGACTGATTTTATAGACGTGGACATCAATGGTCTTCAGTTGCCAAGCAAGATCACACAGCTGGGTGAAAACAGCCTTCTTACAAGGTCCGTAAGAATACTGTTTAGTCTCCTGGTAAGTAGCCAAGCTCATCTCTGGCTGAGGTCTGGCCCTACAATACTTCCTGTGCCCTTTCCCCCAACTGTTTGTCTGGCCGAGGTAGAGAGAGTGGGGGCAAGGACCAGGCAGGGGGAGGCAGGGTCATGTATGGCCCCTGTTTGGCATCTAAATGCTTATGCAAAACCTCAGCTCCTGCTTGCACACTTCCAGTGACAGGGAACTCACTACCTATAGAGCAACAGGGCAATGACCTTGGGGCAATGACCTTCTTTCACCTGAGCGACAGTCTTCCTGTGACTCTCCACTCTTTGGCCCTGGATCTGCACCAGTGTTGCAGCGACCAAGGTGCCTCTGTCATCTCCTAATGTCCCAGGTTTGGACTTCCCTGTGGCTTGAACCTCTGTCCCATCCTTGCTCCCAGTCACTGCCCCTACAGTGCACAGAACAAAGACCCTCAGAACCATCCAGACACTGGTCTCCTTCCCAAGGTGAGCAGTGGGCAATAGGGCAGGGGTAGTGCAGACTCAGGACTGAAGGTCACGCCATCTGGCCTGCTGGAAAGGGACACCCTGGAAGCCATGCTTCTGGACCAGGAGCCAGGACAGCTGTCCTTCCGGGGTAGTGAGGGCACAGGAAGCAAGCAGCAGCTGAGGGATGGTGGGAGGAACTGGAGGAATGGCTTCTCCTAGCTGGCAGCCCGTCTTGCTGGGCTGGCAGGTCCTGGTGGGAGGCAGTCTGGGTACCGGGACTTGGGCCAGCGGGTCAGGAGCCATCCTGTGTGCTGGGCCCCTTCAGGGTGAGCCTGACCAGTGAGACCTTAGCTCGGCACCTGAGGTCTGCATTAAGTGGCCAGCTGAGTGGGAGCCGAGGGTCAGTGAACGTCTGGGTGTGAGCAGAAACGGGTCTCAGGTGTGAGCTGCCTGGCCGAGGTGGGGACTGGTCTCTATCAAGAGCCCAAAGTGCCCGTGGTGATCTCGGGGCACCTGCTTAGTGTCAGCTGGGTATGAGGTGTGTGTATGTGTGTGTTCCACTCTGGATCTGTGCATCGTGGCTGTATGCCCTGGGTCTAAGTATGTGCTCTGGTGTAGTTGGAGGGGGGTATCCAGGTGTGAACAGTGTGGGCTTTCTCATGCTCTGACCTGGAGGCCGGACTGCCTTCCCTGGGATCCCAGGTGTAGACCATCTCCACCAGGTGGGAGTTGTTTTGTGTTGAGGACCCTGGATCTCTGAGTTCCCATCCCACCCTCGCCCAGCTGAGCAACCACACCAGGGGCAGGAAGACAGGGTGAAACCCTTAGAAAAAAACGCTTGAGAAACTCTGCAAAAGACGCATCCTGATGAAAAAACAGTCCTGTGGTTGGGTCCCTACAAAAAAAGGGGGAAGTTCTGCCAGGAGCCGGCTCGCGGCCGCCCCCTATGGGAGATGCATAGGTGGTCTTCAGATGGGCCAGCCGCCCGCCGGCGTGGGCTCGGACAGAGACGGAGACGCTACTTCCGGCGCAGGCGCAGCGGCGGGGGCCGCGGGAGGTGGGCCCCGGGGCCTCTCATATCATCTTCATGTTGAACTTGCGGGCGCCCCCCTGGCCGGCCGCGGCGGCGGGCCCGTCCACCTTGCGGAAAGAGTACTCCACTGAGAAGTTGTTCTTGTGCTGCCCGCGGCCGCGGCTCCACACAAAGAGCAGCAGGAAGCAGAAGAGGACGACACCCAGGAAGGTGATGCAGCCCATGGCGGTGGACACCAGGATAGTGGTGAGGTCGAGCGGGAAGCGCGCGGCCACCTGCGTGTCGTTGCGGCCTTCGCCCGGGGTCCGGTTGACGGCCGGCTCAGGCTGCACGCTCAGGGTGGCGAAGTAGGTGTCGTTGCCGCCCGCGTTGCTGGCCACACAGGTGTAGGTGCCGCTGTCCCCCGGCCGTGCGTCCCGGATGTGCAGCGTCCCGCCCGGCAGCACGCGCGCCCGGCCGGCGCTGGCGGCGGTCACCGTACGGTGGCGCGGGGTCACCCAGGCTACGGTGGGCGCCGGCTCGCCCTCGGCGCGGCACTGGAAGCGCACGTCGGCGCCCGCGGCCGCTGTGACGCGCTGCAGCCGCCGCTCGCGGATCTTGGGCTTGCGGCACACGAAGTACTCGAAGAGCGCCGAGTCTGGCAGGCTGCGCAGCGCGTCGCCACGGACCTCGGCCGGGGTGGCGCAGGCCGGCGGGCGGCCGTCGAAGTTGAGGGTCTTGCGGCGTTGCACGACCCACAGCAGGCGGCAGTCACAGGCCAGCGGGTTCCCGTCCACGCGCAGCGTCTCCAGCGTGTTGACTGAGTGGAAGGTGCTCTCCTCCAGCGTGGACAGCAGGTTGTTGGAGAGGTTGAGCAGGCGAATTTGCCGCAGCCCCAGGAAGGCCTGCGGCTCTACCATGGCCAATAGGGCCCCAGCCAGGTGTAGCTCACGCAGGCGCACCAGGTCGCGGAAGGACCCGCGTGGCACCGTGCTGATGGGATTGTGCGACAGGTTGAGGCAGGTGAGGTGAGCCTGGTGGCGCAGGGCGGCGGCGGGCACCGCGGTGATGTTGGTGTGTGTGACGGACAGCGAGGTCAGGTTGAGCCCCCGCAGGCTGCCGGCGGCCACCTCCTCCAGCAGCGGCCAGTTGTCGATCTCCAAGTGCAGCAGGCCCGGGAGCCGCTGGAAGTTCTGGTCCTCCAGGGCGGCGATGGCCAGGTGTCGCAGCCGCAGGGCGCCCAGGCCCCGCAGGTGGCCCAGCGATTCGCCCGACAGCGCCGTCAGGTTGCAGCGCTCCAGGGTGAGCTCCTCCAGCGCCAGCAGGCCGGCGAAGGCTCGACGCGAGATGAACACCAGGTCGTTGTCCCCCACCTCCAGCCGACGGAGGCTGCGCAGATCCTGGAAGGTGTAGTCCAGGAGGATGACCAGCTTGTTCTCGCTCAGGTCCAGCAGCGTGAGGTTGTCCAGGCGTGTGAAGACGCCGGGCGGGATGAGCTTGAGCAGGTTACCGCGGAGGCGCAGCACGCGCAGGCGCGGCAGGTTGGCGAAGGCACCCGGCTCCACGTGCGCGATCACGTTCTCGCTCAGGTCCAGCTCCTCCAGCAGAGGCAGGGCGGCCAGGTCACCCGGGTTCAGGCAGCGGATGCGGTTGCGGCTGAGCTCCAGCAAGCGTGTCTCGGCCGGGATGCCGTCGGGCACCGCGGTCAGCCGGCGCCGGGGACAGGCTACGGCGCGCGTCTGCACCGTGCACTCGCAGCGGGCCGGGCAGCCCCCCGCGGGGGGCAGGGCCGCGGGCAGGAGCAGGAGCTGCAGGCTTAGCACCCACAGCCAGCAGGTCATGGTGCGGAGCCTGGGCCTAGGGCCACACCACCATCCTCATGGGCACCTGTGGGCGGGGGCAGCATTAGTACCAGCACTCCAGGCCTGTCCCATCCCATCCTAGCAGTGTGCTCAGGAAGCAATTGTCCACCGTGGGACCCGGAATCCCACTCCTGGGCATCTACCCAGGGGCTGTGAGGGGAGCAGCCTGGGTGGATGATCAGGGTGGACAGAGGGGTGACTTCAGATCAGGACAGGTGACATGCGTGCTGAGACCCTGTACAGGGTTCATTTATGTTCTCCCTAAAAGAAACACGGCTTCCCACATGGCACTAGTGGTAGACAGTCTGCCTGCCAGTGCAGGATGTGGGTTCAATCCTTGGGTCAAGAAGATCCCCTGGAGCAGGAAATCGCTCCCACCTCAGTCTTCATGCCTGGAGAATCCTATGGATAGAGGAGCCTGGCAGGCTACAGTCTATGAGGTTGCAGAGTTGGACAGGACTGAGCACACACATACACACACACATACATGTAGAAGTCCCCTGATTCATTGTAAGGGGCCTCCCTTGAAAATAGGTTCTTTGCAGATGTGATGAATTGAGATGAATTTATATTGGATTCAGTTGGCCCTGAATCAAATGACTGATGTCCTCGTAACAAAATGGCAGTTTGGATGCACAGAGAGATGCACACAGAGGGAATAAGACTGTGTGAAGGCAGAGGCTGGAGGGATATGTCTACATAAGTCGAGGATGGCTGGGGTCCCCAGAAGCTGGGAGAGGCATGAAGGACCCTCCCTTGGAACCTCTGGGGGGAGATGGCCCTACAACACCTGAATTTCAGGCTCATGGCCTCCAGAAGCCAGAGTGCATAGACTTCTGTTGTTTAAGTCACTCAGTTTGTAGTACTTTGTTTTGGCCACAGGAAGCTCATGCAAACCCATAGGAGGACAAGGAAAGGGCTGTGGGTGTTAGGGAAAGATGGTTCCAGGCTGGAGGAACGTCTAGTGCAAAGGCCCTGAGGCAGCAGGAGCAAGTGGAGTGAGTGGGGGTGGGGAACCCAGAGATGCACTGGAGGGGCCACAGAGGTGGATGATGTGACTGGGAAGGACCTGAGGAACAGATGCCAAAAGCCTGGGCCTCTGCACCTGTGCCTTCTGAGTTGCTCCATCTCTCCAGGCAGCCAGCTTTCCCTCCATCCCCCATCTCCCCCATGCTCTGCTGGGCTGCAGCCCAGATCCCAGGGCCAAGGTGGGCGGGGGTGGGGAAGGAGCAGCCAGATGGCAGCTGGAGGGAATTGCTCTGTTGGCTGGGCAGCTATTTTCAGCATCTGAGCAGCTGAAGCCCCCAGGCTTCCTCTTACTGCCCCCCACTCCCCCCACCAGCACATCCCTACTGCCTCTTTCCTCATTATTCCCACAGGCCTGGCCCAGCAAGGACCCAGGCTCTAGATCCTCACCCATGAGGTCAGCTCCTGCTTGCCTGGACCCTTTTGAGAATTTTAGGTGAAAATGAACAGACACAGAGCCCAGAGCTACTGCTGGCTTAATGCTAGAGGTGAATCATACGTCACTAGGAGGAGAGTTTGTATTTTGCAGGTGTCATCAAATTAAGATGAGGTCATGCCAGAGTAGGGTGGGCCCTGATCCAACGATGGGTGTCCTTATGAAAGGGGGAAATTTGGATGCAGACATGCAGGAATGATGGCCATGTGACGACGGAGGCAGAGATTGGAATGATGCATTTATAAGCCAAGAGACACCAGGATTGCCAATAAGCACCAGAAGCTGCAAGAAACAAGGGAGGATCCACCCCTCGAGTCTCTGCAGGGAGCACAGCCCTGCTGACACCTTGACTTTGAATGTCTGGCCTCTAGAACAGAAAGAGTAACTTTCTGTTGTTTAAGCCACCCTGTTTGTGGTCTTTCATTATGGCAGCTACTGGATACTAATACAAGACCTTCATGAGTAGCCACGTATCCGTAAAAAAAAACACAAGAGCAGAGTGGCATCAACAGAGAGGTTTGCTGCAGCATCATTTGGAAAAACAAAAAACTGGAACTAACTTAGATATCCATCTACAGGGGATCCAGGAAATCAATTGTGGTCCATGCCTGCTGTGGAACACAGGGAGACTTTTATGTACCAATGAAGGAAGACAGTGGAGGTGCATGTATACGGGGGGAATAAAACCCCTAGAACTAATCTCAGTGTCCATCAGTGGGTGCTCAGTCATGTCCGGCTCTTTGCTACCCCATGGACTGTAGCCATCCAGGCTCCTCTGCCCATGGAATTTTCTAGGCAAGAATATTGGGGTGGGGTGCCATTTTGTACTCCAGGGGATCTTCCCGATCCAGGGATTGAATCCTAATCTCACATCTCCTGCAGTGGCAGGCAGATTCTTTCCCACTAGCACCACCTGGGAAGCCAGTTCGTCAATAGGGCATTGGTTAAATAAGCTAGGGTCTGTGCCTGCTGTGGAATCAAGGAGATTCGTGTGTATTTAGTAGAGAAAGAAAGCCGAGACTTACTTACATGGAGGAAAAATGGAACTAACCTAGGCGCCCATCAATAGGGGATCAAATAAGCCATAATGCATGGTTATTGTGGAGTGCTGGGAGATTTGAATGCACCCACAAGGAAAGATGGCTGAGCTGTAGTTCCAAGAGAGGCTGGAGAAATCGAGGTTGCCCAACAATCACAGACAGCACAAGCTTATTCATCAGGAAGTAAAATCAAACACCAAACTCAATAAACATACGTGTGCAGGTGCTCCCGAAATGCATGGGGATTCACACACTGCATGAACAGCACTGTGAGTGGCAGGAATGGAGTTGTAGTCGTGGAGAGCGTGATCACACCATGAGGAAACCAAGGCACCCCTGGTCTCCAGGAGGTCATGGGTCTTAACTCTCTAACCCTGGCTGGGGAACCCAGTGGGGAGGCGGACAGAGGGAGAAGCAGCATCTGGTTCTGCTTTCCCACTGCAACTGTCCTTAATCCCAACCCGCGTATCGCAGGGAACACAATCCTTCCCTGAGGCAAGCTGCCTTCCCAGGCTCTCTTTCTAGGTCATTCTCTTCCATGTTGTTGCCCTGGACATCAAGCAGAGGGGCCATGTCCCATGAGGGGACAAGACAGAAACAATGGTCCCCTATTCATCCATCTCTTTCTACCTTAAACTGGCTCTGCAGTCACTCCTAGGTCGGGCCGCTCCCTGTGGTCAAAGGGTCACTGTCTGTCATCCAGGGATGGGGGATAACTCCTCAGTGGTCTGCTTCGGAGCAGCCAGGCACCGCCAGCTCTGCCCCCAGAAGGAAATGACTGGCGTTGTTCAGTGCCCCAAACAGACTCCTCGTGGGGGTGGGGGGCAGAGCGGCCTGCTCTCTTCTTTCTGCAGGAGAGAATTCACACCCCTGTCCCCTCCCCTCCTCCCTCTCTCCCTCTCCTCACTCTGCTCCAGATGCACAGGCCTGCGCGCTGCTCCTCCAGCATACCCAGTGTGGTCCTGCCCCAGGGCCTTTGCACATGTTAGGGAATACCCAGACCACCATCCCTATGAGGCTCTCTCCCTGACTTTATTTGGATCTGGCCCCTGATGTCACTTCCTTGGTGACTTAGTACTCAAGTACCCTCCCAGTCTCTTATATGCCACTTAAACCCCTGTTCAAAGCTGGTCATTGTCTTCATCCACATGGGAAACACTACAGCAGCCACTGCTCTGGGCTATCTGAATGGGTCCATTCAAGTCCCACAACATCCTCATTGGGAGGGGGAAGCCCCACTGCTAGCCTCATTTTGCAGATGGGAACACTGAGGCATAAAGCAACGTAAATCACCAGCTCAGGTACACACAGGGCTTCCCAGGTGGCAACAGTGGTAAAGAATCCGCCAGTGCAGGAGATACAGGAGAGGTGGGTGGGACTCCTGGGTTGAAAAGATCTGGAGAAGGAAATGGCAACCCACTTCAGTATTCTTGCCTGGGAAACCCCATGGACAGAGGAACCAGGCAGGCTGTAGCCCATGGGGTTGCAGAGAGTTAGACATGTCTTAGCACAGGTTCACATAGCACATCAGAGGTGGCAGGGGATAGTCTCAGGGAGAGGTTGGTGGTGCTCAATCCTGTAACACTATCTCTCTCTCTCTTTTTTGAACAAGCAGGAGAGAGTCTTGGCAGTTCATCCGGCTAGGATTCAAAACACAGCTCTGTTTTCGCTGGACCTGCAGTGCTTGTTTCCTCTCATTCATCGATTCCATCCATCTGTCAGTCAACAAACGTCTACCGTGCCAGGCATCTTCCAAGTGCTGAGGACACAGAGTGCCTGAGACAAACAGGTCAGCTTTCTGGGAGCCAACAGATAATAAAAGAGGTAAATACATGCTCTTCCACCTCCAGTGGCCATAAACGAAGAGGAATAAATCAGGAAGATGACAGCGGGGTGTCGAGGGGATTGTAGTCATCACCATCATCAACTTACTGAGGAAGGATGGTTGTGCAAAGAGTTAGGGAGGGAGAGAGGGGGCCTAGCAGATGGGGGGCAGCAGGACCAGGCCGGTCAGCCCAGGAGTCTGGGAGCAGGCCCCGTAGAGAGAGAGGAAGGTGGACTTTCAATCTACAAACTTAAAAAATATTTAAAAAAAATTTTTTTTAAGTTTTTATTTATTGTGTCAGGTCTTACTTGCAGCATGTGGGATTTAGTTGCCTGACCAGGGATCAAACCCAGGTCCCCTGCGTTGGGAGCACAGAGTCCTAACCACTGGACCACCAGGGAAGTCTCCCCCCGCCCCAAATTTTTTAAGTTGGAAAGAATTTTAAAAAATAGTTGTCACAGAGGCAGCTAAGAACAATGTCAGGAAGGAAGTACTCAATTCAAGAGGTCAGGACAGCTTAGGGCATAGCCACTGTGATACAGTTTCTTGGAAAGGCCTGCGGAGACCTCAGTTCTGATGCGCTGTGTGACCTCCAATGAAAAATGCGCCCTCTGTGAACCTCGCCTGTCAAAGGCAGCAAAACCTCGGTGTT